CAGCCAGAGCACAAGGGCGCTCAGCAAGCCAATCACGAGCGCGCACACGAGGACCGTCCACACCGTGCGGCCGAGCGCGGCCCACCGCTTTGCGCCCAGCGCATGGCCGACCCGAGACATGGTGACGACGATGACAAAGTTGGATATGTTGGCCACAAAAGTAACGGCAGCTCCAACCGCCGAGAACACTGCCACTCGCTGCGCCGCCGAATCGCTGTGCCCGAGGAGTCCGAGTTGCAACGCCGCAGCAATCGGCTGCGCGGCGTTGTTAACAATGGAGGGAAGTGAGGCTGCCAGAATGGCGCGGAGCGAGACGGCTTTGGCGAAGTCATCCTCCGCGATTCGCACAAGGGGCTCGTCGTTGTTGGCGGAGACGGACATCAGGGGCCCAACTCACAAAACGCAGCTTTGGGGCCCAACTCGCGCGAAAGCTAGGGTTCGGGCCACACGTGAGTAGGGGGTCTTGCCACCCCCTATACTACCCGGCCACGAGCCCGAACAACCTAGGGACCCACTTTCTAGTGGGAGGCCTCGCCGGGGCTCTGCTCCAAGCATATGGTCCAAGCACCAAGGTGAAGCGGCATACTGGTAAGAAAAAGAATTCCAGGGTTCGAGAGAGAGAGTTTTGTTTTTGGGTTCGAGTGGAGCTTGTTGAGCTGACAGTTCTGTGAGTCCGCCCCAGCACCAGAGGCGCATTTTACTCCGGTGGAGTTTTTGTTGTGTCTTGTGTGTGTCCGGGTGCGTGGCCGTGGGCAACTCGGCTGAGCGCAGTCAGGCTCGGACTGGACACCGGCGTGGTAAGAAGCCGGTAACGCGGATAGTAACCCGGGATAGGTGAACGCGAGACAGGAGAACGGCACGCTGGATCGACACACAGACACAGAAACTCAGAAGACACTCGCTGCTAACCATCGGAATGTCCTAGGGCATGTATATATGTATGTAGTAAGGTGAAGAACAGCCAGGCTCGGACCGGACACCAACGCGGTATGGGTGGACGCTGGACAGATGATGACGACACGCACGAGCGACACACAGACACAAACAAGCTCACAAGACACACAGCCAGCTGGCTGCCACACACCCTGAGTTGGCGTACACACATAACTCAAGGCCACATCCTCCCTGTCGCCCCCCCCAGCACTTCACCGTGCCAAAGGAACAAACAAGGGCACAACATCACAACAGACAACAGGAAGTAACATGCGAGGCTAGAGCAGGCTTGCTCCACCTCCTAGCAATCTCGCCGGCCGCAAGGCACGGACAAGACCGTGTGTGGGGTCTTGTGAGGTGTCTATGGACGCCCTACTCAAAGGCTAGCTGCCTCTACTGCTAGCCCTATCTCGCACTCACGGGCAGTGACAATTCAATGGGTGAGTGTTTGCGAGCAGAGGCGCGTGGGCTAAATCTAGCCGCACGTCGGGCACTATGACGAAG